TCACATTTTAGTTGCTACACCATCTGATAGAAATTCATTTTTGATAGTTTTTCTTGTTCTGATCCCTGTGGGGACTTTATTTTTTTAATGATGTATTCACACAGATTATGACTTAATCACTAAAAAGTTTCAGAGAAGCATCTTTACCCCACCCATGCTGAGAGTAGTTTGACAGGTGAATACTGAAAACATCTGTCGTTGTGTTGACGCCGACTGAATTTAATACACAATTCATTAATCAAATTAAATAAATCCAAACAGAGGCTGACAAAAGGAGCTGCAGTTATGGACAGGATGAGGAAACTGAGCGCATGTAAACCTTTTAAACCTTAAAGTAATAACTCATTATAAAATGATGAAACCGAATATGAGCACAGTAAATGTGAGGCAATGACTGAGTTGATCAGATTGCTGATTGAACAAAAGGTCATTTGAAAATGCTTTGATTAATCAATCAACCAGTTTTATCCATTGACACTAAGTATATCAAATTACTGTTAGCAGTAAGGCCTATGCATATAAAATATATATATATAGGAGAATGTGTCACATCACATGCACCAGATGTTGATGTACTTGGATGTATAGATAGAATAAAATGAAGACTTTGACATTGTAGATTATATTGAACGGAGTTCTCAGGCTTTCAGCACACAGCAGAGAGGAGCCTACTGTGAATCAACACTTCTAATAGGTATAGGCTGTACTATACCAGCAGAAGTATATAAATAATTCCAATACTGCATCTCATTTGTCGTTTGATGCTTGATGAATGCATCCTATTGCTGGATGTGAGGTGCATCCATAAAAAAAGCGTCATTCATCGTGTATATCACGCATATTTTGAAACATCATACACTGCTGCATTGCATTGAAAAAAACAAATTACATGAATAGATAAAACATTTCTTGATAGTTGGCACATTTGCAAATGACATTTTCAATCTCCAACGTTCCTCCACCTCCTCCCTGTTTTGGAAGGGTTGGAAGTCTCCACATCTGTAATTCTCTCCCTGACGTGTTATTCTGACAAGTCCTTTTGTTATGTGAAACGATTAAATGAAATTAAAGTACAAAGCTGTTGATGGAATCAATGGTTTCCAGTAGGTCTGTGTAATGATATTTCTTTTCCCAGAGAATCGATGAGCTCTATTCCCCTGGTGGACTGTGTAATTACAAAACCCTCATTAGATTATGAAACTATACAGCATATGGCACGAAGAGGAGATTCTTTTGATGTGCTCTTGTAATGACTGCAGCAAGAAAAGAAAAAAAGAGAAAGGGGCACTTGCCTGCTTTTAGTTCATTTAAATCTCAAAGGTTTGAAAGCAAGGTTTTCTATTTTTCAGCCCCCCCTCTTTCGGACACTCCCCCAACTCCTCTGTAGCGACTCAGATACCAGCCTGGGAGTACAGGAATGACCCTGGAAATGTGTTTAGACACACCAAGGACTTTTGATTCACCAAGAATGTTAATCATTTCTCCAAAGGATCCGTTTGTTAAAGGGCTGGATGTTAGAGGCGCTTGCCTCTAACATCCAGCCCACATCTAACATGCAGCCCACATCTAACATGAGAGAGATGTTTTCGGCAGCTTGTCTTGTGTTCTCAGCGCAACACATGTCACAGACTCCACGTTGGGATAAGAATATCAGGCTGGGAAACGCAGTCATTCAGTGTTACTGTGGTTGACGGGCAGAGACACGCAACAGTGTCTACAGCAAGTGCAGGGGGGATGTTCCAAAATGAAAAAAAATGACACAAAAGTAATATTTTCAGATTCTATCATCTCCCTGCGTCTGTCAGACATCTGCAGCTGAAACAAACCCTCGACTACACCATCACTTCTGTTGTGGAAACATTCTTTTCATGTAATTTCCCCAAAGGGAAGCCTTTCTTTAAAAAAAAAAAAAAAAAAAAAAAAAAAACGAGCAGTGTCAGCATTGCAGCTAGAAAATCAGGGGAAATCCTCAGCAGTAATCTGGCTTCACCGCTTGGTAAACTGTGGGTTGAGATCCACATTGACTTATAGGCTTGTTGCTGGTGGGTCCCTTTACGACAAGGATATAAAAAAATTTAATAAGCCTGTTTCCCGGAGCAATGAAAACTAATTTCTCACCGGGGTCCTCAGCTAAAAAACATCTAAGAACCTTTCATCTCAACTACAGAATTATGTGTAAGATTGAGAAACATGTGGATGAGGATCTGATCAAGGAGGTTTTGGGACCATTGTAAGTTCAGTATTTAAAATCAGAAGCAGACTGTAATGGCAACTAATGTGTTTTTGTAGGGCTGCAGGGAATAATTGGGCTTCACTTTCTCCAAATGATAATTTCTGATGACATACTCTCAACTCTTGCACTGAAAGAGCAGATTAAAAGTTACATCAAAATTTGGATGTAAATTTGTTTGCATTACCAGATTTTCCCACTCTTACATCGTGAGCTACTTTTAATGGGTGTGCTCACTAGAATAGAAGAACACATTTCTATTGGCTTTATTTGATGGAGACTTCAAAATGGTAGCGCTTAGCTGCATTATAGGTCATAAGCCCTGTCTCCATGTAAGTAGGGAGAAATTCTACATATAGTAGCTTTAATTAAACAGTCTAACTTCCTATGTAGAAAATTGTAAAATACAGCTACAGCATTTCTGTGATGAAGCATCAACTAGTAAACCTGGAACCCTTTCTGGGGAAGTAGGTTGCACCAATTCCCTCTGAGGGACAAACCAAACCATAAAAGTCCTTATCCAAAGGGTGGTTTCATTTTTTCAAAGAATAAAGACCAAGGACTCAGAATGAGTCAATGTCATAATAACAGATAGGACTCTTGTTGTGAAAGGCTTCGGGGAAGAAGAAAACATCAACATTTGACATAATTTAACAAGAAACAACAAAGAAGGTAGAAATCTGTAGCAGGGCTGTGCATATATCAGAGTAAACTGACCATTTTACCTGCTGTTTTACTTCAAAACGTTTCACTTCTTGACGCTGTGTGATTTCACCCACTGTGACAACGGGAGTCTGGACGTGCTTAAAACCAACTTTAGCTGTTGATTTGGAAACTTCAGCCTCCTCTTTGAGGTGACGACTCTGTAAAGAGCCCTTGATGTTTCTGGGGAGTTTGAAATGACGACACAGCGGCACATTGAACTTGACTGAACTCCTTGAGTCATCAGACAACTCAAAACAATTTCTGTAGCTGTCGGTCTGAAAGTCAGATAGATGGATTAGTAAATTAAAGTTCCCATTAACAAACAACTTAACACCACTTTATTTACGTAATATAATTTGTTCACAGTTGCTTTAAGACAAGTCAGATGTGACCTGCTGGTCTGTTTGATATAAATATACCTAGTTAACCCATCAACTTCTCTCTGGCTTTCTGTTTGTCTGTGGAAAGCACACAAACTGCTCATCTTATTGGAACTGAATAAATAGGCGGCCATTGCTCTGATATTAAACTGAGACACAGACACAAGTCACAGGTGCTGATCTATGTCACGGCAACAACATTCAAATAAATCATTCAAACGTATAAAATTCACAACTGGAGCAGTAATAAAGCTTGCTCAGCTTCATTTTATGAGAAACACTGACTATAAAATCTTCACTGAAGCTTTCTAACTTCACTCTGCACCTTAGACTGTTCTCTGCACACAAACAGTAAAAAGTGACAGTACTGTTTTGTAGAACTGTTTGAGGAGGACTCACTAATGACAGGGAGTAATTCTGAAGTAGCTCTGGAGCATTAACACGCCAATCAAATGGCCCATTCCAAATATAGAGCTTTAGAACAGGCACTACTCTATTCTAATCCAATGCAAAAGCCTTGCAGTATTTTATCATATTCAGGCTTTGATGACAGTGGGTTTGTCTTTGTTCAGTTCAGAGTTGGTATTGTATTAACAGTAAAATATGTTTCCAACATTTTATCCGTCATCATATCAGAAAACCTTCAGTCCTGGCAGAACCACCACTAACAAGTGTTGCCAGCTGAATCAACACCTCTGACACCATATCAACAAACCTAATTAAACACAATAAGCTTTATATAACAGTATTGCAGGGCTGTTGTATTAATGAATATGTATTAATGATGTGCGTTTAATACCTTGATTACTTTAAGACTATTCCCTCAGCACTTTGTTAGATAATTAAAAGCAGAAAAAATGTGAAGCACACATTACTGATTTATATTCACCACAACTGGGAATGGGGAGCGCATGTGAAATAGTGTCTTGTTTTTCAGATTTATGTTTTTGATATTACTGTGTGTGTGCGTGTGAAAAACCTGATTATTATTCCCTTGTACATGATCACAACAGTACCAGGCTTCTTGTAATGAAGATAAATGACCTTTTCTACGAATCTGGAAATCTCTTCAGACAAACATAATTTTTATTTGTTTATAAAAAAGATGTGTTTTGAATCAAATGAATCAGCCTTTAACCTAATTATAACAAGCCCATCATCTCTGCTCCAGATATACCTGGCGTCCACACTCCTACAGAGTTTTAGAGCAGAAACATTTGAAAAAGCAGCCAGGGCTTTGTTGTAGTCTGAAACGATAACTTTGAAACTCACAACTGTTTGCTCATTGGGTCGGTCACAATATAGCCTTCGTCTGGCTCCTGTCACATCCCCCCTTCCAGAACAAAACCAACTGGCTTTAGTCTCATCTACCAGCATAGTGTTGTTGACCCTCTTGTCTCTGCTAACAGCTGTTGTGCAGCTAAATTCAGCATTTTACAGTGATTCCACTGCTTAATGTGTAGACAAGCTATTATTCAAGCAATCTGTGTACACCACCACACATGCCCCACTTGGCCCATTTTCAGGTATATTAGTATGGACGGGGATTAAAACTGAAAAAGAGCCAAGATGCAATGTGTACAGATTATTTCAGCTTGAAAATGCCCTTTTCAAAAAAAAAAAATTAAAATATGTTAAAAAGACACAAGGTTTTGGTTACACAACCATCGTTTATTACTGATGTCATCACTTACACAGACAAAAGAAGTGTTAGCGATACCTACTTAAAGGTGATCAGCAAATCATACTTGAGTAACTAGTTGAAAACCGTTTTGGGATCGTCACCAAAGTGTGTTTAGAATTTGGGCTCAAGAACTGTGACTTAAAAACACAAAATTTGGTGGCAGGAAATGGCAGAGTGATTTTCAGAGGAAACATGAACCAAGAGTGGATCCAACTTTCTGACCGTTCACAGCTGGTTGGTCTGATCAGTTTGGGCTGAGACTAACAATTTGGTCGGTGGAATCAGATTTGGCTATTCAACCCTGAAAGCCCTGAACTGCCAGATCTTTTATTAGGGTTCAGCAGGACGTTCAGGGTGATTGTGTTGTTCTCATGATACATTTAAGCCAAGTTATCCATCCAAGCAAATGCATCCAAAATACTCTGTTAAATAACCTTTTTGTCGACACTAGATATCCAACAAAAGCCTGATACGCTACTAAGTCGCTCAACAACTCAACTTAGCGGCGAAAGTGAGAGGCACTCACTCTGCAGCTACTTCTGGAGACTGAAATGTTCCCAGTAATACACTGCAAACAGACTCCATTCCCAGAAAAAGAATCATGGACTGCTCATCTTAACAGCAAAATTTGAAGGATACTTGGCGATTGAGATTTGCAGCTCTTTTATAGCACTGGTGTACTTCAGCTGTCCTTGTGTGGTACATTGATGAATGGGATTGTGTTTATGTGTTTGAGAATCACCCTGAATATCTGCTGCCTAGCCACGTTTTCATCTTCATTTGAAAGTCACAACTGACTGATGAAACAAAATCACAATTTGTTTGAAGAATTGCGATGCTTTCAACAAACTGACCCGCTCTTCACCCCGGTCAACTTGTGATGGAAATTCCCCTATAAAGAACATAGTACTCTACAAATTAACATATAAGCAAAGTTCACCTTTGTATTCCACTACGAGCAGTAACAATGTCAGAGAATAAATCCTGTTGTCCGGTAAGGCTAGTCCTCCAAAAAGAAGTGTTGAATAATCAGTAGTTTTATTAGAATCTACTCCTCTGTTTCATGTCCATTGAGTTCAAGAAGAAGCATTGAGAGTTTTCCAAAGATTGACTGCAGTCCAGAAGAAAGAGTCTCTATATACACGAAGGTCCTCGGCATTATTCATTTCTCCTTCGATGATCCAACAAAGACCTGAACCGTTGATTCACCTGTGACAGAAGAGACTTGTTTTAAAGTAAAATCAAAGCTGTGAC